ACTGGCAATATGTGGAACCACACGGTAACGTACGTCGAGATGATACATCGACCGGCAAGAATTATTCGGAATCGCACGGATGGCAAAGCTATGACACTGCAGCACCTCACTGGCAATACGTGGAACCACACGGTAAGGAACGTAAAGATGAAATATCGACGGGCAAGACTTATTCTGAATCACACGGAAGGCACAGCCAAAATCGTACAGCATCTCATTGGACATATGTGGAACCACACGGTAACGCACGTCGAGATGATACATCGACCGGCAAGACTTATTCTGAATCACACGGAAAGCAGAGCCATAACACTACAGCGTCTCACTGGCAATATGTGGAACCACAGGGTAAGGAAGATCAAAATGTAACACCGATGGATCGGACATCTTTTCAGACACCGGAAGCCGATGACCGAAGTTTTACAGTGTTTCACTGGACATACGTGGAACCAGACCGCAAAATGGCGGAGCGTTATTCACCGTATGAAATGCAGCAGTACATATTTTTCGAGCCATATGGTGAGAAGCCCGCATATGTTTCAAAATACGGTGCACAAAGTTACAAATATTTGAAGAAAAACGATGAGAAGACGGTACGTGACTCATCGTGCGACAGACAACGGTATATGCAACTCGAAGCATACGGAACCGGGCCGAACGAAATGTCATCCTACGATATGCAGCAGTACGCATACTTCGAGCCATACGGTGAGATGGCCGAACATGATTCACCGTACGAAATACGGCAGTGCACATGCTTTCAACCACACAATGAGCTGTCTGCAAATGGTCTACACTTAAATATGCTTCATTAAACACAATTGGAACCACATGTAAAGAAGCATGACAAATTTCACTCTACTATATACGGCAGTACACATAGCTCGAGGCTTACAGCAAAAAAGGGAACATGTTTCAACACATAGACAATACTAGAGATACTTTGAAATACACGGTGAGAACACGGATCATGATTCGCTATACGACATGCAACAAGAACACATACTTCGAATAACTCACTGAGAATCCAGAGAACCTTTGACCAAACGATACACGAAAGCCCGCATACTTCGCACCACATATTAAAAAACCGAAACATATTTCATCCTACGATATGCAGAAACATCCAGATTGGAACTACTCTATGAGAAGGCGGCACGTGTTTCCTCATACGATATTCAGCAGTGCAACTATTTCGAACCATATACTGGAAAGCCGAAACATATTTCATTCCAAGACACACAGCAACACCCAAATTGGAAGCACTCCATGAGAAGGCGGCAAGTGCTACCGAAACATTCCATCCTATGATACGCAGCAACATCCATATTGGAACGACTTGATGAGATCTCGGCACGCGTTTTCCCATACGATATTCCGCAGCGCAACTATTTCGAACCACACACTGGACAGAAACACCCACTGTATGAGAAAGCGGCACGTGTTTCCTCATACGTTATTCAACAGTGCACTTACATCGAACCACATTCTGAAAAGCCGAAACATATTTCATCTTGTGATACGCAGCAACACCCAAATTGGAACCACTCGATGAGAAGGCAGCACGTGTTTCCTCATACGATATTCAACAGTGCACTTACATCGAACCACATTCTGATGAACCGAATAATATTTCATTCTGTGATACGCAGCAACACCCAAATTGGAAACGCTCGAAGAGAGCTCGGCACGTGTTTCTCCATACGTTATTCAACAGTGCATTTACATCGAACCACATTCTGATGAACCGAATAATATTTCATTCTGTGATACGCAGCAACACCCAAATTGGAAACGCTCGAAGAGAGCTCGGCACGTGTTTAATCATACAGGATGCAATGGTACACTTACTTGACAACGCGCATTGACTTGCCTCGAAGTGTTTAACCCTGCGATATGCAACTGTACTCATACTTTGAACCATACGGTGAGTGTTTCATAATGTGTTTCACTCTGCTGCGTTCGATCGCGCACACGCTTTGAAGGATACAGTGGGATGCTCGGAAACTTTTCACCCTGCGAGACGCCACAGGAGACAGACTTCGAACCGTTTGTAGCTCACGAGACACAAGTCAGCAGTGCACATACTTGGAGCAATCTAATAAAATATCTATGCGTGTTCCAACCTACGGTCTGCCGTACCGATATGTCGGACACTAAATTTAGAAACGTCAGTATATTGTACTAGAGCCCATGATGAATATGAAAGCACTGCTTTTTCATACATTGAAGAGTGCAGCGGTGTTGCCGCTGACGTTCCGTTGCCGCGTTGTGTTTCACCTTACGTTCACTTAGATGAATTCCTTCCAAGGTTTGCAATATCAATATATTAAACCATTCGATCACCTATATGAATGTGTGCTTTCATAAAGCTTGTACTGGCAATATATTGGACGAGGCATTGAGAGATACGAAGTTGTTTCACCATATATCCTGCAATTCCCATATTTGGTCCACAAGGCCAGAAATGCAAACAAGTGACACCTAGAGTGCAACAAGAGCACAAAATTGCTGTTTCCCAGCGCGTTGAATAGTATGCGATGACGGCACCGTGCGGTCAATCAAAAGCAGTTTATAGCTGCACAGAAAACAAATTTGGAACACAAGGTTACTATTTACCCACAAGCTAGGGAGCATAGCAGTATCGCCTCAGATGGTCAGGAACAAGACGATATTTGCGGTGTGAAGCACCAGTATTTCAAACCAAGCCGTGAGATGCATGAATATGTCGACCCATTTGATATGCAATACCAATACTACGAAACATTTGGTCAAAGAGACGTATATCTTCCATGCTGACGATCTACGGAAACTGTTCTCTATCACGTATACGATGTACCCTGTCCTTAAACGCTATCACATATATTTTATATTATTTGTACATTATTTCTAATAGCCTTTATTTCCAATATTTCCATGGAATTATCATCGCTGTATGCCCTCCTCGATATCGATTACATTTGCTCATCGTTATCGAGACAGAGACACGTTTCACTACATCTTCCTTTAGAGCGGTTTCCCCTAATGCCCTCAATGTCAGCAAGTCCACCAACTCCTTGAACGCTATTTAAAAAATCGCTGTTTTAAAGATCACTATTGATTTTTCGTACAATTCCTGTCAGCTCCCTGGCTATCCGACCTTAAGTACTTGATTTCAGAAGGTTCTCTGCTGTTGTTAGCTTTCTCTAGTGTTATTCTTAGTTATTTCATTTTGGCTTGATGACCATGTTATTGTTCATGTTCTTTACACCCGCATTGCTTGATTTTGCCATTCTGTTCTATTAAGATTGTTGCATATAAAAGCATTTATAACCGTGTTCGAGAGCTGCAGAATAATAAAAGACCCGTGTGACAGGCCAGTTTATCAATTTCATGGTCTGCAGTACCAGTGTATAGAACATTTGACATTTGACACCTGAATGGCCCGTCCTCACTACTGGTTGTGCGGGCTCCAGCATAACCTTCATTTTTCGAAGATTTGCTGGTTGATCCATTGTGGTTCCCTGGAATCCCGAGGTCAGCCTAACCAAAGTCTGCCCCAGGTCCTCACCACGACACGCAGTCGCAGCCCTTGTTGATCAGAGGGAGATTTGCCGCCATGCACCTAATTTGGTACCAGGGCGGTGGCGGATCCTGGTATTGGTTTGCTCTTAGCTAGGCTTCCTGATATAAACACCGGACTCTTTTTCAGCTTGGGATACCCTGCAAGAGATGAATCCCGTGCTGTAGATCGCAGTCCGACACCCAGGGAACCTACCAGCTACGATGAGGCGGTAAACCGTTGGAAGGTATGGAACGCTGCGCTCACATATACGAATATTTTCTGCCACACTGTTTACAATGCCAATATGTTACACTGCAATTTCAGATACAGCAAAATGTTGCACTAAGGGCATAGGAAGGATACAAGGTTACTGGTCACCCGCATGCTAAGGAGTGTGGTGATGTCGCAGCAGACGACGAGAAACAACAAGGTGTTGGACCAGGAGTAAAGCGGAAACGAGTTATTGTTCACTGACACCGTAATGAACGCAGTAATGTTGTTGCAGACACTCAGAAACACCGCTAAGTTGCACCATATGGTCAGCAACATGCATATGTTGACCTAAACGGTCACCAAACATATGTTCAGGAATTGCAAGATTCTGCAGCAGATTGTCGGGAGCACCTAAACGTTGAACCGGAAGATCACGAACACAAAGTTATTTTTAAGCTAGACTTTACGATATACTGTGATTTTATGCGTTACCGTTAAGCATGCCACGATTTTGCACCACCAATACCAAGACAGATCCAAAAAGTTGCTGTTCATCCATGCAGTAAGGAATACAACGACGTGGCACCAGACGACTGCCGACACAAATATTTTGGATCATACGGACAGCAGCACAAATGTGTTTCACCATACGTTCAGAAACAAGAAGATATAGAGACGAGTAATTTGGAAGAAAACATAAAGTTAAGCAAAGGCCACCAACTATATGGGCTTCATATAAAGCGATTGGTGGGTGAAACTCAATTCGGGAAGTTGAGCAGCGGAAAATCAGACCACTGCTTGTTAAGGTATGAGTAGTCCCACGGAAATCAAATAAAATATAAAACCATTCAAAAAAAATGCAAAAATGAGACGAAAAAAATCCGTCAGGAGGACGAGAAGAAGCTGTTGAGTGATAGCGCGCTAATGTGGCGCTTTTGCAAGTTCAGGTAGAATCATCGCGGTTTTCTTATTTCTTCGTATTCAACAACAATCTTCCTTCCTATCTTTTTCTTACTAATTTATTTTTATAGAACAGGAAAGATCGTATCTCTGGAACGTGATTTTCCAGTAAAAGCAGTACATACGCCACTTAACACACCTATTCCGCGTTACAGTTTCTTCAAAGATTTTCGTCTATGCGCGGCATGCAGGCCGTGTTTCTGCTCCAGTTGGAAGGATTCTTACGTAAAATGAATTCAGAATTGAATACCAGTGCTTTCTTCGCAGGCTTCAAAGGCCTCTGGTTTCTTTAAAATTCTCTTCAGAATGTAATCAACATTCCACGCAAAGTGTACGATGTGTTATTCTCACTGAAGTGATCGACTTTTTGTCAGTAGAATCCTCCTCGCTCATACTCCTCCCGTTCTTGTTTCAAGAGGAGTGCGAAAAAATAACTGTTGTAGTTTTTGGCTCAAGTAATCGATAGACAGCTGTTCAATACCTATGAAAAAAGTTGAAAAAATACTGAGACGCCATGGTGGAAGAAACCATTAGGAAAAATAGAAAGAGGAGGGAAGGAAGACGCAAACAAAGCGTTAGTAGTGTTCAGTAAAGCTGTCATCTAATTTCAAGGATACAACATGGATACGCTAATGTTATGCGCTTTCCATATATAGTAGCCCCACTTTTCATATTTTTCAAGTGACCCGTCGTCAGATTGACTTCGGGGATCCTAGCACTTCTCGCGTTCGGTTCGTTTCCACGTATTCATCATTTTTATCATCCACGAAGGTCTCCTTTTTGTCAGTGCGTTCAGTGATGCTTGACGATTTTTGTCTTTGCCATGAATATCGTTGAATTTTAGTGCAATCGATTCTCCACAGAGTCCTGAGAGAACCGTGGTAGAGCGTCCTCTTGTGGATCGCATGGAATAAAATGATCACAGATAGGTCCGGTGCCAATTTTCTGACCCAAAGCGATGGGACGCTTGGTAGGTCTGGACCATAGTCCAACCGAGATTGTGCTGGTAGATAAATGGTGACCATTAATTTGGAGAAGGATATTCGTGTCACCATTTCGCCTAACCTTACCAGCTATATCTGTACTATTCTATATGATCAGGCTCTATAGGATTCTAAAGTCCTTAGAAATTGCTCTTTAATAGAAATGTCGAAATGGAAAAGTATGGACAGAAATAAAAATTGCACACAGCAAAATGTATTGTGGGCTGCTGCGCAACTCATACATCGCCACTGTTTGTATATCGCTGTGAATTTATCGTTAGATCCACAATGATGTTGAGATATTTGCAAAACCTGAACCCCAGACCAGATTCGAGTCGATTGCCCTTTACAGGGGCTCACGCGCGTTATGCACCGCAGCAGTGAAGCCATTGCTATGCCTTAACTCTCTCAGCTAGCTTTTTGCCCTAACGGTGCCATCCACAATTTCTTGTTAACCGAACTAATCTAGAGAGCACAAATCAGCTTTGGAAGCAGTTAAGCCGAGGCTGCAGTTGAAATCACTATCTTTAACTTTTTATTTTCTGCCTATTCATTCCCATTCCCGTTGATGGGTGATTGCTAATGGTAACATAATGATTAAAGACTGGCTAACAGAAAGGCAAAGCAAGGGCCTCAGTGGTCCAATGGGTAATATGTGAGCCACCGAAACGGGTAATCGCGAGGTGGAATCCGGTCTTGGAGCAGTGTTTTGCAAATATCTTAGCAATATTGCGGCTGTATCTCACATAATGTTATGCTATGGAAAAGGAATAGGCAACAGATAAGAAGTTTCTCATTACGAAGAGATTGCCTGTTTGTCTGGGGTCGGAAAGCTGTGGCTTGCTGTGAAAAAGCACCTCCTAAATCAAAAAAGTTACCGAAACCACCTACTGAGGGCTAAGCAACATTACAGTAGTATCACGTTATTTAATAGAAAACCAAGCTAAACTGGCATGAAAGAACGTTCATGAAGAAGACAAGATGCCAAGATGCAATGGAACCCTCACACAAATCCGAACACCTTTATAGATGACGGACACACAACAAGGGATTAAGTGAAGGAAGTACGGGGAGTTTGACCGCCTAAGCGTTAAAAAAGATTATAGTTAGAATTTTAGTCGTCTATGGTGTCCATTATTGTTCTAGTTTTAAACTTCTATAGCACTCATCTGAGAAGCTTCTCAGAAATCCAACAAGGTGTCATTGGACAGCCTAATATCTGTCAAATATCCTAAATTCTAACCTGGCAAGCACTCTTATTTTCGCACCATGCTCTCCATTTGAGGAGCTGATGATATTCTAAAGTTATTTTTTTACTAAGGGACGCGTGTGGCGTAGTGGTTGGAGGCGCCACTACGACACGCACGTGAAATCGATCCTCGCGCCCATGGCCCACCAAACCTTCCATCCCTCCGGTGTTTGGAGATTAGTACCGGACTTGTCTGGAAAAAATCACTCTTTGCAATCCATCTAGAAATACTTAAGCCCGGCTATCTCAGGACTCCAGGGAGAATCGACTCGAGCAGCATTCTACGACATTCAAGGTGAAATGGAAATCCTCAAGCAGCAACCGAACCCGCATATGGAAGTTGGAAGATCTTCGTGGATAGTGGATGCGAGGAAACGAATCGAAGGTGAGAAGTGCTCGGATCCGCAGAGTAGAAGTGATGACGGATCAATTGAAATAACAATAAATGTTTTTCTTTGCTAAATTAAAAGATCTTCACATGGAACTCCATTTGAAATAGGCACATTCCGTCAAAAATACGTGTCGGAACATCCTTTCCAGAAAAGACGGAACACGGGAAAAGCGCTACGTATGGAAGAAACTAGAAAAAATGTGAAAAGAATTTGACACTTGACAAGAAGTTGCAGTCTACGAGAATACTATTTTTCTTCTGGTAGAAAAGTGGTGCTAATAAGAAGGAAATTCAGGGGAGGCTGCCATTTGTTATACTAAGGCATGAAGTATAAAAAGATTCTCAAACAGAACAGTTAACGAAAATAATTTTTTACTCCATGGGGAAGGTTATCAAAACCACTACTCACATAGCATGGGATTTCGTCGTTCATAGTTGTAAAATAGCGCTCGTAATGCAGTGGTTAGAGGTGTGCTGGAAAACGTACGTAGTGTTTGGTTCGATCCTACCAACCGAACATGGCAGTTCTTTTATGATCTATACATCTGCATCTTTTTTCTCAATTATCAAAACTTCTATACCGAATGGAACTATTCCATTAGATCAAACTAGACAAATTAAATAAGTTGCCTATCGAGCACATAAACATGATCTCTAAACCGTCATCTATGTTGCAATACCCCAAAGTGTCGTCATAATGGTCGAGTTTCTGAAATATCATTCTGCACGTTTACCACTTCTGTTTAATGCTCTAAGAAAGCTCGTGGCACTGTGGTAAGAGATGCCCTGCAATACACAAGTGGTCTTTGGTTCGATCCCACGTCCAGGTCTCACCAATCCTTCCATCACTCCGTGGTCGGAAAATTGCTAGCAAACTTGTTTGGGAGGATGGATGAAAAGTGAATGCCGTACGCATCTTATTTTCTTTGCTCTCCACAGGTTTGCCACTGTTTGCATACCTTTCATACAAGAAGGTTATGGTACTTTCCATACACCTTCAATGCGCCATCATTTGATCACAACATGAAACGAACCGAGAAAGTACTTACCGGAGAGCTTTAAAATTGTGGTTACGACGAACAAGCGTACAAAGAATTTAAGAAGGCTATTTTCCAACAACTTAGCACAGCCATAACGATACGCATAGATTCCAATGAACATAAAGGAAAAACATTCGTCTCTTTCGACTTTAAAGTAATATATCTGAGCATGTACTAAAAGTGGAAAAAAAGCAATTATTGACAGTTGTCGAAAAACCCCCTCTGTCCCGAAAGGACTACCGAAGAACAAAAACGGGTACAGAAGCAGTCGACCGAAAGAGGAAATCATAAAGTACTCCACAGATGGATGTATGGTGCATAAGAAACGTGCGAAGCACTGGTCGTTACGATGAAACCACATCCCACATCAACCCTGGACGTTCCTGATTTCTGATAGATTGTCGAAGCACACCAAAGTGCTTACATCGATAGCGATATAACGCTTGAAAGAAACTTTCTGAAAGGGTTATCGAAATGATACTAATATGGAGACCTGACGTACTTTCACCATACACGACTTCTTTGTTTCCCTCTTCAATAACATGCAATACTTCACCTCTGGCTTGTAAATGAGTTTGAAATGTTCACGAGGAGGTGAACGGCATCACTACAAATAAAAAAGGGATAAAGCTCTCGGCGTTGATTCATCTCTTCGGGATGCGCCATGCGTTCGACCTCATTAAGCGTTGTTGGAGGTGACTGATTTCATATCTGGCCATTACAATGACTCGCGGTGGCCTACCGATATATCGAGCCCGTGCTGCTATCCTCCCAGACAAGTCTGGCACCGATTTGCCGATCCCGGAAGGATGGAAAGCTTGGTGGGCAGTGCGCGTGGGGATCGAGTCCACGTGTGTGTCGCAGTGCGCCGCCGCACACGATCGTAATCAGTATAGGATGGTGATATTAGGAAGCCATTATACCAATATTATCTATTGCCTGTTAAGTGTACAGTAGTTAGCGATGTCATGCGTTATACGATTCGTATCTGGTTCGACTCCACGCCGAGATAGCAAAGCCTCCCAT